TCTCTCTCCCAGGCAGTTACTCAAGAGAAATGTAAACATACTTCCAGCATTAATCTGCCGGGGTGCCATAACAAAATACCATAGACTGAGTGGCTTAAATATTTATTTTCTTACAGCTCTAAAGGCTGGAATTCCAAGATCTAGGTGTCATTAGGATTGGTGTCTGGTGAGAGCTCTCTTCCTGGGCTGCAGATGGCCACTTTCTCACTGCATCATCACATGGCCTCTTTTCTGTGTGTGTATGCCATCATAACAGATGTGACATGTTGATTTTTTTTACTTTCCTGTTCCATTTGAAAAAAATTTTAATGAGCATATATAATTTTTACCCCCAAAAAACCACCTTAAAAAAACCCCCAACAAATCCCATCTAATATATCACCTTAAAAAAAAAAAAAAAAAAAAAAAAGACAGGGCTTCCCTGGTGGCACAGTGGTTAAGAATCCTCCTGCCAATGCAGGAGACACGGGTTCGAGCCCTGGTCCGGGAAGATCCCACATGCCATAAAGCAACTAAGCCCGTGAGCCCCAACTACTGAGCCTGTGCTAGAGCCCGTGAACCACAACTACTGAAGCCCGCGCGCCTAGAGCCCATGCTCAGCAACAAAAGAAGCCACCGCAATGAGAAGCCTGCACACCGCAACCAAGAGTAGCCCCCACTTGCTGCAGCTAGAGAAACAGAGAAAGCCTGTGCACAGCAACAAAGACCCAACGCAGCCAAAAATAAATATAAATAAATTTATTTTTTAAAAAAGTGGATTTTCTTCAGCTTTTTAAAACTTTATTGAAGTATAATTGATGACATCACACTTTCATTATGCATGAATTAGATTCATTTTAATCCAATTAGCATTTACTGATGTTCTAGGAATGTAGCCGCAGTGAACGCAGCAAAACCTCTATACTCAAGTTTTCCTTCCCATATGTGGAAGGGAAAGAGGATAGTAATGAGTACTGTGAAAAAAATAAAGAATAATAATAATAATAAAGCAAAGGAAAATTTAAATCTGCAGGCAATTCTTTTAAATATCACTATCTCTTCAGTGAACATTTGCAATATCTGCCTCATCAAATACTCTCCACAACAGAATGAAGTGACAAAGAATGAAGTGCAAAGTAGAAGAGCTGGGTCCTAGTCCTGCCTCAGTCACTCATTAGCTCTGTAAACTTCGGCAAGTACTTGACATTTCTGCGCCTCACCCTCAACAGTAAAATGGAGATCACGCCTGTCCCAGAGTGGTGGTGGGGCTCTTACTTAGGATCTTAGTGATGTGGGCACGTTTTATCATTATGTAAACAAAGGCTTTGTCTCCAAATTATCTCTTTAGGCAAAGCTTGTGGTTTGAAATTGTAAGTCTCTTTCTCTTTATTCCCTACCACCCCCATTTTTGACTCAAGGTTTTAAAGATTGCTATTAAAAACAAACGTCTTTTAAGATAGCACATTAAGATACTATCACCTAAAATATATTTATTATAAAACAGATTTATTAAAAAATAACTTTTTAAAAGTTAGTTCTTCAAGTTAGTCTAAGCAGCAGAACTGTGATGCCTCAGGGCACAGTGAGATTGGGGTTTGGATATGGTGGCGGAGAATTCTAAGCTGCTCTGAAGATCCTGTGCCCAGACTAAGCCAAATTGAGGGATGGGAGAGTGGTGACAAAGAAACCAGGAGGAAAGTTGTAAAGCATCTGATGATGGGAACCTGAGATAGGGGAAACCTGTAATGCCTGAGGCTCCAAATCCCCACTCTGGATGAAGGCTGCCCCTCAGTCATGTGTTGCAGTTCCTGAGACACACAGAAGGAGGCGCCATTCCTGAATTATTCCTCCTGCTCCAACCCCCCAGTAATGAAGTTCCTAGTGATAGGACTTATCACTTATATTTCATTTTACAGTTTTGTGAGCACTTTCTCATTTGGTCCTTATAACTAGGTGATAATTAGAGGCTGGTTCTATTATGCCCATTTTACAGATGGAAAACTGAGAGTCAGCCATTTTAAGTGAATATTCAATGTCAGACAGGCAGAGCTAGTCTTTCAACTCCTGACCCAGTGCCTTTCCCACTCTGCTGTCTAGAGTAAAGGAGGATTGTCAAATACAGCTGAGAAATGGAGTTTTATTTTTTTATTCTTTTTTTTTTAATTAATTTATTCTTGGCTGTGTCGGGTCTTCGTTGATCTGTGCGGGCTTTCTATAGTCGTGGTGAGCAGGGGCTACTCTTCGTTGTGGTGTGCGGGCTTCTCATTGTGGTGGCTTCTCTTGTTGTGGAGCACAGGCTCTAGGCACACAGGCTTCAGTAGTTGTGGCACGTGGGCCCAGTAATTGTGGCTCGCAGGCTCTAGAGCGCAGGCTCAGTAGTTGTGGTGCACAGGCTTAGTTGCTGCATGGCATGTGGGCAAATGGATTGTCAAATACAAAAGCTCCTGACAAAGGGAAAGAAGACCCACTCTAGTAGCCAACCTATGCAGAGAATGGCTTTGGGCATAGTGCTGCTCTTAGGAGAGTTGGAGGTCAAGTTGAGCTCACCCCTAGGTTTCAAACATACAGTTAAATTTAGCTTTGTTGGGTTATTCTGTGGTCAGGGCCATGAGTTGAGCTTGGTCAAGCGGAAGGAAGGGTATAAGCAGAAGTGGGTTGGGCACCTGCCAATTTTCCAGCTCAGTGCCTCTCTTCTGTGGACATGAAAACACCCGAAGTAACCCCTCAGTTGCTACCACTTGGGAAGCCTCTAAAATGATTACTCTTGACAAAGGCTGAAAAGGCCTGGTATATTGTCAGAGATCTAGGATGCCTAGGCAGCCTCTGCTTGCGAGGAACCTAGTGTAGAGACACAAAAGTCTCTGAAACGGTGTAAAAGTTTGGCCAGAGAATGTTTTCCCACATCAGTGTATTAGTTCACAATTGTTACCATAATGCTCTGTAACAACAACACTCATATCTTAGTGACACACAACCAGAAACATTTGTTTTCTTGCTCACAAGTCTACAGGTTGGCTTGGCCCCCTCTGGGTTGAGGCTGCTCCCTGGTCTTCATCATTCCAGGCCCAGTGGCTAACAAGGTCATGGTTGGTGAATGACATAAGCACAAAAGAGCAAGCCAAACCTCACAAGCACCTTTAAAGCCTCTGCTTGTGTCACAGTGTCACTAATATTGCACTGGCCAGAGCAAGTCATGGATGCCAAACGGGGGGATGTACTCTAGCCTAGTGCAAAGTCCTTTAGCAAAGGACGTGGATGTAAAATCCTAAAACATGGAGGGAATGAAGCATTGGGAGCAATGACCCAATGTTAGCACAATTAGTAATCTGGCAATAAACATTATTATGAATAATATATAAAAAGTAATAAAATGATAGCTAACATCTACTGAGTCTTATTAAGTGTTGGGCACTTTTGTTAAGTACCTTGCATGTATTAACTCATTTAATCCTCACAACAACCCTATGAGGTAGATACTAATACGATCTGTATTTTACAGATGAAACAACCAAGGCATAGTGGGGTTAAGGAAGAATTAAGATCACACAGTAAACGGCGGAGGAGGGCAGTGACAATTATATTAGAAAGGGACACTGTCCATTTCCTCTCTCCCTTTTGTGTCTCTCCTACTCTTCCCTGCCCCTCCCCAACCCTGTCCCTCCTTTTGTGTGTCTTGTCTTGGGAAATGACATCTGGTCACCCAGACCAGAACCCTTAGTGTCATCCTTGGACCCATCTCACCTGCTGCCTGCCCCGTGTGTCAGCCATTAGGTTCTACTGTCTGTACCTTCTTAACTCCTCCCGATCTGCTCCCTCCTCTTCCTCCTCTGCCATTGCTTCCACTCACAGTCCTGCCACTTCTTTCCCAAGGGATGCCCTGCTTTTAGTCCTGCACCCTGAGTTTGCTGCCAGAGGGATTTTTGCAAAATGCAGATCTGGCTAGGTCATTCTCCTGCTTAAAAAGTTTCTGTAGGGCTTCCCTGGTGGCACAGCGGTTGAGAGTCTGCCTGCCGATGCAGGCGACATGGGTTCGTGCCCCGGTCCGGGAAGGTCCAACATGCCGTGGAGCGGCTGGGCCCGTGAGCCACGGCCGCTGAGCCTGCGTGTCCGGAGCCTATGCTCCGCAACGGGAGAGGCCATGACAGTGACAGGCCCGTGTACCGAAAAAAAAAAAAAAAAAAGTTTCTGTATTCCCTGGAGCTTTTAGTATAAAGTTAGCCTAGTATTCCAGGCCTTTTATTTTCTGACACTCTGCCACACTTCAAACCAGCTTCCCACACTACCTGAAGTCCCATGAAGTTTCATGACGTTTTGCCTTTGCATATGCTGCACCCTCTGCCTGGATCCTCTGCTCCCCTTCTTCACCTCATCAACTCCTATGTATCTAGAGTCTTACCTTTTGGGAAGGCTTCTCCAATCTCATCCCTTTGCTGATTAGACATCTTTTCTCTGTGCCTCCAGTAGACCCTGCCATAGTATGTGGCATTTACCAGGCTACATTTCAATATTAGATTCCACTGTCTGCTTCTCCATCATTAGTTTCTCTCAGAATATAATTCGTGGACCCCCTGCTTCAGAATCACCTGGGAAGTTTGTTGAAAATTCAGGTTCCTGGGACCTATCTTGGTCCCACCAACTCAAAATCTTCATAGGGTAGAGCCCAGGAGTCTGCATTTAGAAATTTCCTGAGAAGATTCTGACTTATGCCAGGATCCTGACACTAGACAAAACAGCGGCCATGCTTTCTTGTACTTCTAGCATCTAGCATAGTGCCTGGCACAAAGTAGGCACACAATGAATGTGTTGCGAATGAATGAGTGAAATGGGCAGCACTGGTCAAGGCAACACAAATAAAAAGCGAATATTCGGCTACTGCGATTCCAGATACCAGCAGATGGCGCTGTGACGACATATATGCTTTTACGCCGGGGGGGGGCGGGGTGGAGGAAGATGGGAAATTTTGTTTTACAGGAATTCAAGACTAGACTGCTGAGTAATTTAATTTATTTTTTCCTACCCAGTTTGTCTACCATTGTCCCACTTGCCTGAATAAATTGCTTTCTGAAGGCATGAAGACTTAGACAAGAAAAACAAGTGGAAAGAGGCTGGTCACAGAAAGCTGAGCAGGTAATGAAAGAGAAGGGAAGGATATTCTAATTACCCCTATTCCATCCTCCTGATGGAAAGCTGCTCCCAGCGAGCGCTAAGTGTTGTGAAATTACCCAAAGCATTCAAAAGAATAAGCCATTTCAGTAAGAGGGTGGAGCCATCCTGTAATTCTGTTAGTCATCCACGTTTCCTTTACAGACTGTCAAATGCCTATGTGACTAACCTTTTAAAGTCGTTTCCCTTGCAATGCAACGTCTGAAAGCCTGAGTCTTCCTCCTGGGCTGAATACTTGATTCTCCCGAGGTGTTGGAAGTGAGCCTCACAGTCTAGAAGCCAGGGGCCCCATAGCCCACTCTTGCTCCCCTTTCCAGCCTCCCCTCTCAACCCCCAGGGGCATCCACGTGCACAGAAGTGATAGGGCTGGTGTGGGGCCCTGGGAAGACTATCAGGCAAGGCCAGAGCTAGAGGCTGAGCTGTTTTCCTCCCAGCACGGAGCTTTCCACCGGAAGCCCTCGTCAGGGAGGGGGGCGGGGTAGGGGCTTCTGCCCGAGTCCCTCCGCAGGGAGGATGGCTGGGGAGGGGCTTCCCAGCGCTCTGCAAAGCGGGGCGGGGGGGGGGGGGCGGGTAGCAGTAGACACAATGATAGACGCAAAGACGGAGAAGCAAAACCCCTGCCCTCAGCGCAGTCTCAGTCCTATTGGAAAGGCACAGTTTAAAGGCATCACAGTAATTTCGAAACGGTGGGAAGAACTTTCAAGTTCTGAGTGACCCAGCATAAACTAGATGGAAGTGCTTAAAAGGAATGACAGAAGATACAGTTTCCCTTTCTCTTTTTTTTTACTCCTTGAACTGTCAAGTTCAAAACTCATTAGGTGGGGAGCTAAGCAAGTTGGGACTTCCTGGCCGGCTCCTGGTCACAGCAGCAGGCGGGAGCATCCGCCCAGATCCCCCAGGTGGGTTTGGTTGTCCTCATGATGAGGGGTAGGCCCACAGCCACCTTTGGATGGGGCCAGTGGCCGGGAGGTTGGAGACCACCAAGAAGGAGTGTGTCAGGTGGCAGATGTTCTTGTCTTTGTCCAGTGTCCCCTCCCCCAAACCGGGAGGAAGGTCATGTCTGGGCCCAAGGGAGCTGTCCCCTGGAAGCAGGAGAGCCATGTCTGCCCCAGCTGTGGACAGCACTGATGGTCTCTGGCCAGAGTGAGCCCTGGGTGTCAGGGAACATGTTTTACAGACTCTGGGCAGCCTGAGTGGTAAACGCAGCAGCACTACCAGTAATCTTTCTCTCCAGGAAGTCCAGGGCCTTGCCCTGGTGGCTGAGTTGAGAGTAAGCAGCTGGGGGCAGGTTCCAGGGGCCGCACAACACAACACGTGATGCATCAAGGGAGGCAGATCTGGCTCATGTTGTCCAGGGAGGGCTGTCTGGAGGAGAGCAGGAGGCCAGCCAGCCAGAGGCCCTATCCACACTGGCCAGCGATGCCAGGACTCAGCCTCAGGACGGCCGTGGACCAGTGAGGGGCTGACGTTGGCTCTCTCTGCTCATAGCAGGGAGAGCACATCCTCCAGATCAGAGAGAGGAAGATAACCTTCCTCCTGATCAACAGGGAATTGTGGAGAGCAATGCTTCCTCCTGGAAGGGATCCTGCCCTTGTAAGGTTGGGAGGGAGGAGCTCCCCTTCTATTGCACAGCAGTCTAGAGAGGGTGGCCCTGCTGGATGTGGGAGCCTTTGGAGAAATCTCCTTCCCTTAAGCCAGGGGAGGGTTAGGAGCAGGTGCTGCAGGGGAAGAACTTTGACCAGATTCTTCCTGCCCTGGAGGCTGTAGAAGAGAAACTCACCATCTGTCAAAGCTGCCCTGGGCTGGGTCCCCAGCTGGGATAAGGATCAGCAACTGGTTGCCCAGAGGATTGGGTTCTGTCTGGGAGAGCTGGGTTTAAGGGATGGGGTCACAGGAGCCTGTTGCCCGGTGGCTGTTACTATTGTGATCCTAGGGCTGGTTCCTCCATCTTCTTAGATGGTTGAGTAGCTGCAACATGGAACTCCTTATTTTAATCCCCAAATCCACTCTTCTTTCATATTCCTCATCTCAGAACTGGTACCACCATCTGCCAAATTGTTTAAACCAGAGAGCTAGACATGATCTTTGATTCAGACCTTCCCTTTCATATCAAATCTGTTAGCAAGTCCTATCATTTCTACTTCTTAATCTCTACTATGACCACTTCCCTCTCTCTCCACTGCCACCACAATAATCCAAACCATTGTCATCTGCTGCCCAGACCATGGGAGGAGCCTCTTTGTTGGTCTCCCCACTTCCTCTTTCAGCAACCCCCTGCCCCCAATCAGTAGACCCTCCCTGTGATTCTTGGGCACCCTGGTCATTTCCTTCAGAGCATCCATCACAAGTTGCATGCTTATCTTGTCATGCAGTTTACTGTCTGTCTCCCCCACTAGATGCAGCACCAGGGGGCAGGGAATCTTGTCTGTTAAATGCATCCTTGTATCCTTTCCACCTAGCACAATGCCTGGCACAGAGTGAATAGTTTTAAAATGAATGACATTAGGTCAAATAGTTTAGATTTTAGTCAATAAACAACGAGGAGCTATCACACAGTTCAGAAAAAGGACCGATGAAACATAAGGATGTGTTGGGGGAATAATGGAGGCAGCTGGATGGACATTAACTTGAATCCTCTTACTAACATGTTTCCCGTTGATGAGGCCTAGTGTGGTGTCAAGATAGAATTCTAGACAATTTAAAGGAGAGTTCTTTTTTTCCCCCAGTTTTATTGAGAAATAATTGACACACATCACTGTACAAGTTTAAGGTGTACAGCATGATAGTTTTATTTACATATGTTGTGAAATTATAACTAAAATATGTTTGGCTAACACCCATCTTCAAAGATACAATTTAAAAAAGAAGAAAAGAATAAAGGAAATCTTTTTCTTCTTGTGATGAGATAAAGGGAGAATTTCTATCTTTGTGAATATGTAGGGAAGAAAAGAGAGAGGCATTGATGCTGTAAGTCTGGTGAACCAGAAAAATAACATTACTTCATCTCTTAAAAAGAAAAAGGATGGGACTTCCCTGGTGGCACAGTGGTTAAAAATCCGCCTGCCAATGCAGGGGACAGGGGTTCATTGATGCTGTAAGTCTGGTGAACCAGAAAAATAACATTACTTCATCTCTTAAAAAGAAAAAGGATGGGACTTCCCTGGTGGCACAGTGGTTAAAAATCCGCCTGCCAATGCAGGGGACAGGGGTTCAAGAAAAATAACATTACTTCATCTCTTAAAAAGAAAAAGGATGGGACTTCCCTGGTGGCACAGTGGTTAAAAATCCGCCTGCCAATGCAGGGGACAGGGGTTCAAGCTCTGATCTGGGAAGATCCCACACGCTGAGGAACAACTAAGCCCGTGCACCACAACTATTGAGCCTGCACTCTAGAGCCCGCGAGCCACAACTACTGAGCCCACGTGCCACAACTACTGAAGCCTGTGCACCTAGAGCCCATGCTCCGTAACAAGAGAAGCTATTGCAATGAGAAGCCCATGCACGGCAACGAAGAGTAGCCCCTGCTCACTGCAACTAGAGAAAGCCCGCGTGCAGCAACAAAGACCCAACGGAGCCAAAAATAAATAAATAAATAAACTAAAAAAAAAAAAAGGAATAAAAAAGAAGTTTTTTTCCATGACTGGAAAAAAACCTCAGATTTGACTGGAAGAGTTCAGGTTTTAGATATGTTGAGTTTGAAATGACTATAAGTATTTCTTATGGGCCATTGAAAACAGCCAAACTGGGAAACTTCTTTGACAGTTTAGTCAGCCATGAAGTAGTCATCGGGTTTATTAATTAAGGAATTACAATAAATTATTTAATTCTAGCAGAAAGGAGAGAGTTAAAACTTGAAAATTATGAATCCTGTGTTTAAGGACACAAATAATTTTGTGCCATAATTTTGTTACATAAAACATGACCATTAATAGGCATGCTGTTGTCTCTTGAATGTGGAAAGATTTTATTGTATGAGTACCTGTCACATATGATTTAATCTCTACTTATGTATATTTTTTCATGTTTTCCAGTTTTTTTTGATAATGTATAGTATTTTATAAATCAGGAAAAAAGTAGGAAACATTTTTTTAACTAAAAAATAAAGACTCACTATATCTACTTCTGAATGAATATCTTTGTGGTGAGCACTTGCCTTTACACACCAAACATACGTAAATACAGAAGTTACTAAATGTACCCAGAACTCACTGGAGCTCTCCCTCCAAGAAGTACACACATGTTGATGTTTCTTGGAATTCCCTACAGCTGGTTTCCCTTCTCTGGTTTTAGACAGCTTTGATCCCCAAAATCAGTGGGCTGGAATTATGCAATAAGCCCATTGTTCCAGTACTTCTCCCCGAAGGCAAAATTCAGGGATTTGTCCTTTTTTTATTATTCTAGTCCCAGACCTAACTACTAGCTCTTCTACTCTGTGTGGTTTTGATCTCTTAGAGGATTGTCACAGCAACAGTGTCTTTTATGGGTTTTACTATGGAAGGGCTTCCAATCCTGCAGCTACCAGCTTGGGAAGGTGGCAGTGGGGAGGAGCGGGCAGGGGAAGTGAGTAGAGACTAGTGCATATCAAATTCACAGTCCTCCTGATTATTAGACTGAAGAATGGTCCAGAGGTGAGGGACTGGGAAAGAGAATGGTCTGGAAATAATGACATTGAGGAACAGTGCAAATGAGCTATTAATTGCTGCAGTGTTGCAATAACAAAACCCTGGAAACTGTTGTGGATTGTTTAATAAAATGGCCCATCCACACAAAGGAAGTTGTAAAGAGAAATGAGAAATAACTCTATGTATTGCTGTGGAGTGATTTCTAACATATATTTGTCAGTTGAAAACCGACATGAAGAAAATTCCGTGTGATACGGTACTGCTTATCTAAGAAAGCTGAAGGGAGAGGGAATAAAATTATATTTTACAAAATAAGGATTAACTAAAAACTTTTAAAAAATCAGTCTTTTATAGGGGGGAGGGAAGGGACAGGATAGAAAGGATGGAGGTAGCAGCTACATTTTTCTATACATACAATATTTTGTAAATTTTATATAATTGTGAAACAAGGTTAAAAAAATTTTCTTAATCCCTAAAAATTGGAAGCAAAATGAAACAAATAAGCCTAAGTCTATATTGAGTAGATGGCACAACTACACAGAGCAGAACTATTCAAGACTTTTAAAACACAGTAAATTCACTATACATCCCTCCTGGAGTATACTCTGGGGACAAAAAAATATTGTAAACTCTTTTCTGTAACTGTATTGTTGGTGTTAGTATTGTTCTGAGACTAGTTTTGTGTTTTGTGGGATAAAGCAAATGAGCAATTATGTTGAGGTCCTTGGGAACCAAGTTTTTATTGCAATGGGAGCAAAGAGATACAAATGTAAGAACAATGAAGTTAACTTAAATACCTTGAATCCTGAATTTGAATGGGAAGTGCCACTATGAATTCACAGTATATTTTATCTTAAAAAAGAAAAGGTGTTTCTCTGCTTTGCCTACTGAAAAAGCCTAGAAACAAGGACAAAGTAGCAAAGAGTGCCCAGATTATGGTCTCTGATTCCCACTAAAAGAAGTCAGAGTTTCTTGGGGAAATGGTTGATTCCAGATTAGAGACAGAAAATATACAAGTTGAGGCTGGAACATCATCTCATCCAAGAAAGCAAGGAAGTTATCAGGATACACTTGAATAATGCAAAAATCCTCAGCAACCAAGTTCAAGAGTCACATCTTGGAGAGAGGGGATGATTTGAACATTATTAAGAATATTAACTGCAATGGATTGAAACACATCAAATATGTTTAACTTAATGAGCTCATAAAGGCTCACACACCCCCAAATCCCCAGTGGACTCCTTTGAAGAGCTCATTATTTTGAAAATTGGTAGA